GGGGTACTACCATGAACTGGACCCCACTTCCTCCAACATAAAGATATCCACTCCCAGGAATTCAGTACATTACTTTTCTTGCATACTTTTACCACACACATACATATTCCTAAACCAATGAGGCTCAGGGCAATTTTGCTCCCTATGGGGTATTTGGTAATATCGGGAAATATTTGGGGTTATCATGACTGTATCTATAGGTAGAGGCCAGGGAAGCACAGAACAGCTCCCTACAACAAAGAATTATCTAATCAGTCCAAAACAGCAATAGTGCCAAGCTAAGCAACCCTGCTCCAAACAATAAACAGTATTGTATTGCACTTTAACACATCATAGGCTTTCTTTTCCAAAAAACTTTACTTTCTTGCTTTATTTGCTTAATATTAATTTCCTCTTCTGTACAGAACTTCATTGTATAAATTTAGTTTGTTTAACCATTCTTCTGTTGATGCACCATTAAGTTTTTTCCAATTTTTGGCTTTTTAAAATTTTTTTTTTTTTATTGATTTCAGAGAAGAAGGGAGAGGGAGAGAAAGATAGAAACATCAATGATGAGAATCACCGATCAGCTGCCTCCTGCACAACCCCTACTGGGGATCAAGCCCACAACCCAGGCAGGTGCCCTTGACCGGAATCAAACCCAGGACGCTTCAGTCCGCAGGCCGATGCTTTATCCATTGAGCCAAACCAGCTAGGGGTTCTAATTTTTTGCTTTTACATACAATATTGCTGTGAACATTCTTATACAAGCCTCTTGATTCTCAATGAGAGATTCTGTCTAGGGCAGTAATTCTTGAACCCCTAAGGTAGTCCCCAAGACCCTTTCAGGGGCTTCATGAGGTCAAAGTATTTTCATAACTATACCAAGGTTATATTTGTCTTTTTCACGGTGACATTGCAATGGTAGGTAAAAATGCTGGTGAGTTAGCCACGTTAACACACTCATTGATGAGACATATGGGTAGCCTGTACCTCCTGAAATAATGCACTTCTTAGTGCAAAACATCACATCTATGGTACTTATACCTAAAACACATAATCTGAATTGAATCGTAAGAAAATATTAGACAAACCCAACGTAAAGGATATTCTATAAAATTATCAGTGAGTGTCAAAGTCATGAAAGACAAAGAAAGACTAACTGAACCAGATTGGAAGAGACTGAATGACAACTGAATGCAATGTGTGATTCTGATTTGGATCCTAGAGCAGAAAAAGAGCATTAGTGGGACAACTGGCAAAATCTCAGTAAGGTCTGTAGATTACTTAGTAGTGTTGTAGCAATGTTATTTTTCTGGTTTCAATCATTGTACTTTATAAGACATTAATATTTTAGGACTATGGCTGAAAAGCCAAAAGGAATTCTTTTTACTAGTTTTGTAATTTTTTTGTAAGGCTGAAATTATTTCAGAATGAAAAATTTAATTCTTTTTTTTTTTTTTGCAGAGAGGAAGGGAGAGGGATAGAGAGTTAGAAACATCGATGAGAGAGAAATATTGATCAGCTGCCTCCTGCACACTCCCCACTGGGGATGTGCCCACAACCAAGGTACATGCCCTTGACCGGAATCGAACCTGGGACCCTTTAGTCCACAGGTCAACGCTCTATCCGCTGAGCCAAACCCGTTAGGGCAAAAATTTTAATTCTTTTACTATTATGTAAATAAATATCAAGTATGGTATATAATAAATACGTATTAAATCTTCAAAATGTAATATAATGCTAATAAACATCTATTTTTAAATATTTTGAAGAAGAAAAAAGGGAAAACTCAGATAGTGGTGTTATATTCCTGGGGCAAAACCAGAGTCAAGAGTTTGTGATTTCTTCCAGAGTTTCATAAGAAGACTAGCTGCCCTTCTAGGAGTGCTTTTAAAATGTTTGCTAAAGACCCTGGCCTGCCCTAGCGAGTTTGTCTCAATGGACAGAGCATCGGCCTGAGCACTGCAGGGTCCCAGGTTCTATTCCGATACCTCAGCTGCAGGCTGGATCTCTGACCCTAGTCTGGCTGCATGTGGGAGGCAACCAATCCATGGTGTCTCTCTCACATTGATATTTGTCTCTCTGTCTCTCCCCCTCCCTTCCACTCTCTCTAAAAATCAGTGGAAAACATCTTTGGGTGAGGATTTAAAAAAAAAAAAAGCCTGGCCTGTGTTGCTCAGTAGTTTAGCATCAACCCATGAACCAAGAGGTCCCCAGTTCCATTCCCAGTCAGGGCACATGCCCGGGTTTGGGGCTCCATCCCCAGTAGGGGGCGTTGCAGGAAGCAGCCAGTCCATGTTTCTCTCTCATCGAAGTTTCCATCTCTCTACCCCTCTCCCTTCTTCTCTCTCTAAAAATAAAAAAGCTGAATAAAAATTTTTTTAAAAATTGTTTGCTAAAGAAATCAGTTGAACAAGATGAATTCCTACACACAGCAAATTAAATAATGCATGGAATAATCTTGTAAATTAAACTAAGATGTTATAACAGTTAACCTCTGAAAACCACCTGCTTTATATGATAATGAAACTATTTATAGGACAGATATACTCCATACTACACATTAATATATATTTAACAAGTTGCTGTAATACAAGATTTGTTACGTTTTACCTTTACCCTGGAAAGACATTTAAATTTCCCTATAAACCTACAAGAACTTATCCCATGATGCCTCCAAATTATTGAGTTATGGTCAAACTTTAGTTTGAGGTAGCATGAAAACATTTTAAGAATGTACAAAGCCCTGATGGTTTGGCTCAGTGGATGGAGTGTCAGCCTGCGGACTCAGGGGTCCCGGGTTCGATTCCGGTCAAGGGCAAGTACCTTGGTTGCGGGCACATCCCCAGAGGGGAGTGTGCAGGAGGCAGCTGATTGATGTTTCTCTCTCATCGATGTTTCTAGCTCTCTATACCTTTTCCTCTCCCTTCCTCTCTGTAAAGAATCAATAAAATTTAAAAAAAAAATTTTAAGAAGAATGTACAGCCGAAACCGGTTTGGCTCAGTGGATAGAGCGCCGGCCTGCGGACTGAAAGGTCCCAGGTTCGATTCCGGTCAAGGGCATGTACCTGGGTTGCGGGCACATCCCCAGTAGGAGATGTGCAGGAGGCGGCTGATCGATGTTTCTCTCCCATCGATGTTTCTAACTCTCTATCTCTCTCTCCCTTCCTATCTGTAAAAAATCAATAAAATATATTTTTAAAAAAAAAGAAAGAATGTACAAAAACAGGTATAGGCCTCATACAGTGTTGCTAGGAGTGTAAATTGGAAAAATGTCTTCAGAGGGCAACTAGTTGCTATCTATCAAAATGTTAAATATGTGTATCCTTTGATGCAATTCCACTTCAGATATACTCAGCACAAATGCACAAGGATACACATACACGGATTTATTCGTTCCATCTCTGTAAATAAGAAGACGTGAAACAATATCAATGCCCATCAAAAAAGCACTGGTTAGCCCTGGCCAGTTTGGCTCCGTGGATAGAGCGTCAGCCTGCGGGCTGAAGGGTCCCGGGTTCAATTCCGGTCAAGGGCACATGCCCGGGTGGTAGGTTCTATCCCCAGTAGGGGCATGCAGGAGGCAGCCAACCAATGATTCTCTCTCATCATTGATGTTTCTATCTTTCTCTCTTTCTCCCTTCCTCTCTGAAATCAATAAAAATATATTCTTAAAAAAAAAAAAAAAAAAGCACTGGTTAAATAAAATACTGCATCCAGTCACTGGACTACTATGCAGCTATGAAAGAATAAGGTGCCAACATGGCACAATCGCCAATCCATATTATTAAGAAACAAAAGTGCAGAAGAGAATAAAGTTTATTACTATTTTTGCTTAAAGGGTAATACATTTAGAGTATATTAATACATATGCTTGCAATGAACAGAGTATTGTGTAAGAATACACAAGAAACTGCTAACAATGGCTGCCCCTTTTTGTACTGTTGAATCTTTCCTTTTGGTACTGCACATATGTCTTTTTCAATGTTTAAAAAGCAAGGTAGGAAACCTCAATTTTATGAATAATCTCAAAAATTGAGTTGGCTTGTATTCATATCCCTTTTTATTGCTGCTAACAATAACTAGGTACCCACTTAAGGATGTTAGGCTTTGTCAGAAATAGCTTACTTATGCATTCTCATAATTCAAATTTTAAATTTGAACTATTTTCTACTGAATACTATTAAGGATAAATCTATATGAAAAATGAATTTGATTAAAATAAATTAGACCTTTATTTTATATTACATAAAAAATCTAGAGAGTCAATAACACACAGATCCCTGAAATTTTGTGAATCAAGGACACTGACTCATTGCTGTGTTATTGGGTAAGTCTCTGACAGAACCTTACATACAAAATGAGATGTTAACAAAAGCACGTATCGGGTGTTTTCTATGCTTATCTTCCACTTGGAAAAAGTATTTAACAAAAAGAACTGTTTAGACTATTTTCCCTGTGTCGGTACAACGATATAAAATGAAACCATTTAGATGAGAAATCATTCCACAGGGTCCCAAGCAGCATTCAGCCACCAAATTCCAAGTGGGGGGGGGGGGGGGTACCAAGGGCCCCTTGGCAATTGTAACCGGTGAACGAAGCACCATCTGGCAAGGCCAGCCTCCTCCCTTCTGACAGTTATCACTTGGCATCTGATTAATTTCTGATTAATTTCAAAGGCTTGTTAGACCAGCCTCTCCAGACCCCGACCCTAGAGAAGGGGGAGGAGGGGAGCTGTCTGTTGTCTTCCGCGGGCTTTGTGTCTTCCAGGCTTGAAAGCATCCCGGTGCTGGTGTTGCCCTCCTTTTCCCTTAGTGATGGGGGGGGGGGGGGGGTCTCTTCTGCAAGTGTCTGTTTATTCGATACTGAACCTGAAATTCCCTCGGCCGCTTCCCTTTCCGCTCACTCCAGCCGGGCGCTGCGGGAGGCGTTCCACCCGGGCCCGGTCCCAGGCGGCCGCCGGCGCCCACCCCGCCTCCCCCTTCCCCGCGCGCGGCCCGAAGGCGGCGGGGGCTTACCCGTGGGCGCGCTGTCCAGGATGCGCAGGTCGTAGGCCCCCGAGCAGCGGTAGTTGGCGGCGGTGCCGTTGTCCCACACCACCACCACCTCCTCGGGGCTCTCGAAGCTCCGGACCGTGCCCACATGGCCCTCGCCGCCGTCCTGCTTCCCCCATTTCCAGTCCGGGCCGCGCACTACCCGCGCCCCGACCCCTTCCACCATCACCCGGTTGTTCCGGGAGTTACTCATCGGGGCCCCAGCGGTGGGCTCCGCTGCAGCCGCCGCCGCCGCCGCCGCCGGGGGCCCCGTGAGGGAGTCGGGCCCGGGCCGGCCTCTCGACGCCGGCGGGGGCGGCAGCGAGCCGCGGGGAACGTGGGGGGAACTCTCGGGGGGGGGCGGCGCGATCCCCGCCGAGCCCACCGCCACTCGCCAGCCGTCGCCGTCGCCGCCGCCGCCGCGCCCCCGCTCAGACAGTACGCCCGACCGCAGCGGCTCGGAGGCGGCGGCGGGCGGGCGGAGGAGCGGGGAAGGCGCCGTGGGCGGGGACTCCGCTTCCTCGGGGCTCCCGGCCGGGCTACAGCGACGGCCGCCCGGAAACCACGCTCTCCCCCGGCCGGGAGCGCGGGGAGCCGAGTGCAGCTAGCCCGGGGGGTCGTCGAGGGCGGCGGGGGGCCAGCTTAACTGCCGGCCTTTTCTCTCCCCGGCCCCTCGCTTCGGGTGGGCGCCCGAGGACGGGGCCGCCGCCTCCCCGTGGGCAGTGGTGGTACCACCCGGCGCTGGGCGAGCGCCCCTGCCCAGCGGCCCCCGCTCTCAGCCCCACGCACGCCGCCGCGCTCCGCCCAGCCTCGGAGTCCCCGCCGGCGTCAGCGACTCCACATCCGGGTCCTGGCGCACCCGAGGCCGGAGCAGCAGCTTCTCTCAGCGACTGGGAGAGGAACCCTCACAAACAGCCGGGTGGGCAGGGCTGCGGGGAGTCGCGCGACCCGGGAAAGAAGGGAGAGGGAAAGCGACCCCGACGCGGCGGGCCAGGGCCCAGGGCGAGTGCGCATGCGCGCGGCGCGGAGGCACAAAATAAAGGCAAGGGAAGAGGCGGAGTGGGGGTGGACGCCCGGCTTCAGCCTCGGGTGATGGAGAGGCGGATCCCAGCAGTTTCCGATGGGCAGCGCGGCGCACCCCATTGGCTGTGAGGGAAGGGGCGGGGCGAGGAGCTCGGGCTGGCGGGCCGGGAGGTGGGGCTGGAGGAAGTGAGGGTGGGGATGCCACCCGGGTAGCTGGGCAGCTATGATGAGGTCAGTCCTGATGTTCCAGTGTGCAAAGTGTGAATTTGGGATTCCGTGTTGTTTTAGTCTTTTTTGTTTTGTTTTTTAACGGGGCGGGGAATAGTACAGATTATGGCATAGCTGAAGGGCAACCTGCATTTTTGCATGTGTACATGGAAAACATTTCAAACTAGAATGGATGATTGTAGCAGAGTGGTCCTGAATGAGGTGGGTCTTGCCTTCCTGCGGAGTCAGAGTGGTACGGAGACTCCAAACAGCAAGCTTCCAGGAAAGCTGACAAGCAAGCACCTTGCCCGTTGATAACCCACACACCCACCCACCACATAATTTAGCCCCAATCACAAAATACAACTTTGAAACGAAAGTAAGAGGACTGTAACAGTGGTTTCTGATTGCTGTTATTTAAATAACATTATGATACCCTAGCCCAGTGGTCGGCAAACTCATTAGTCAACAGATATTTCTTCAAAATAGACTTCGCCCAGGCCGAAAACCGACTTCTGCGCATGGGCCACGAAGTTTCAATCGCACTGTACGTGCATGGGGTTTTTTGTGAAAGAGCCACACTCAAGGGCCCAAAAAGCCGCATGTGGCCGCAGTTTGCCCACCACAGCCCTAGCCCAGTGGTTCTCAACCTTCCAAATGCCGCGACCCTTTAATACAGTTCCTCATGTTGCAGTGACCCCCAATTTCATTGTTACAAATTGAGCATAATTAAAGCATAGTGATTAATCACAAAACAATATGTAATTATATATGTGTCTTCCGATTGTCTTAGGGGAACCCTGTGAAAGGGTCATTCGACCCCCAGAGGGGTCGCGACCCACAGGTTGAGAACCGCTGCCCTAGCCAGTTTGACTCAGTGGATAGAGCGTGGGCCTGAGGACTGATCCGGTCAAGGGCACATGCCCGGGTTGCGGGCTGGAACCCCAGTAGAGGGCGTGCTGGAGGCAGCAGATCAATGATTCTCTCTCATCATTGATGTTGCTATCTCTCTCCCTCTCCCTTCCTCTCTGAAGTCAATAAAAATATTAAAATAAATAAATAATAAAGTAAATGACATTATGATGTGTAGGATTTAAAATCATGTTTCACAGCCCAACACGGATGCATTGTAAGCATACTGTTGCTTTTCCTGGAAGTCAAGGGAGCAGGGAATATTCCAGCAGAATTGAATAATCAAGTGAAAAGAAAGGAGACATAAAATGTAACCAATCCCCTGTTTGGGGGCAGCATCCGGGAGGCGGTGGGGAGTCATGAGGGCCATGTAAGTGGGCGCTGGGTGTGGGGTTCAGTCCTCGACGGGTTCTCCCAACCATGGCCACGAGGTCACCCTCACGGGGTCCCTGGGGCAGTCCTTCCGCGGGAATGGCTTGCTGCTCAGCCTCACCTTCCACGTCCTGCCTCTGGAGCCCTGGGCACAGCCCAGCAGGACTCAGTGATTGTGGAAAAAGTGGAATAAAATGTGGAATGTGGGCCCGGCAAAAAAAAAAAATGTAACCAATGATGCAAAAAAATGAAACTAGACCACCAACTTACACCATACACAAAAATAAACTCAAAATGGATAAAGGACTTAAATGTACGATGGGAAGCCATAAAAATACTAGAAGAATCCAAAGGCAACAAGATCTCAGACATATGCCGAAGCAATTTCTTCACCGATACAGCTCCTAGGGCACTTGAAACTAAAGAGAAAATGAACAAATGGGACTACATCAAAATAAAAAGCTTCTGCACAGCAAAAGAAACCATCAACAAAACAACAAGAAAGCCCACTGCGTGGGAAAACATATTTGCCAATGTTATATCTGATAAGGGCCTAATCTCCAAAATTTATAGGGAACTCATAGAACTTAACAAAAGGAAGATAAACAATCCAATCAAAAAATGGGCAAAGGACCTAAATAGACACCTTTCAAAAGAGGACATTCAGAAAGCCAAGAGACATATGAAAACTTGCTCAAAGTCACTAATCATCCGAGAGATACAAATCAAAACAACAATGAGGTACCATCTCACACCTGTCAGACTGGCTATCATCAACAAATCAACAAAGGACAAGTGCTGAAGAGGATGTGGAGAAAAAGGAACACTCGTGCACTGCTGGTGGGAATGCAGACTGGTGCAGCCACTATGGAAGACAGTATGGAGCTTCCTCAAAAAACTACAAATGGAACTCCCATTTGACCCTGTGATCCCACTTCTAGGAATATATCCCAAGAAACCAGAAACACCAATCAGAAAGGATATATGCACCCATATGTTCGTAGCAGCACAATTCACCATAGCTAAGATCTGGAAACAGCCTAAGTGCCCATCAGTAGATGAATGGATTAGAAAACCGTGGTACATCTACACGATGGAATGCTATGCTGCTGTAAAAAAGAAGGAACTCTTACCATTTACAATGGCATGGATGGAACTGGAGAGCATTATGCTAAGTGAAATAAGCCAGTCAATGAAGGAAAAATACCACATGATCTCACTCATTCATGTATAATAACGACCATTATAAACTTTTGAACAAAAATAAATACAGAGGCAGAGCTGCCTCAAACAGACTGTCAAATTACAGCGGGAAAGCTGGGGAGGATTGAGGGGCGGGAGTGGGAGTTAAGAGATCAACCGAAGGACTTGTATGCATGCATATAAGCATAACCAATGGACATAAGACACTGGAGGGTAGGGGAGGCCGGGGGATTGTTAAGGACGGGGAAAAAAGGAGACATATGTAATACTCTTTGAAATACTTTAAGCAATAAAACAATTAAAAAAAAAGAAATGCAAAAAAAAACCCAACAACAAAAAATACAGAAAAAAGTAACCAATGAATTATGTAGTGAAATAAATCAATGTTCTCAATTTATTCTTGTAAATAAAACAGGAAAATACCAATATGGAATCTCAAAGGCCACGTAGAACTAATTTTAGAAACTAAACAAATAAAATATTTGCTCAAAATAGGCCAGCCAAATGTCTAGCAATATCAAACATTTTCATTCTGGAAAATTTTTTTCTTTATATGTTCTTTCTTTTTTTTTGTTATTGTTATTTTTTTTAATTTATCTTTATTGTTGAAAGTATTACAGAAACTTTCCCCTATTTTCCCCCTCCAGCTCCTGCCCTCTTCCCAGGCCTTCACCGCACTATTGTCTATGTCCATGGGTTAGACATATTTGCATGTAAGTTCTCTGGTTAATCTCTTTCTGCACCCCACACCCCCTTCCATCCTGGAATTTTTTTAAAACATATTTTATTGATTTTTTACAGAGAGGAAGGGAGAGGGATAGAGAGTTAGAAACATAGATCAGCTGCCTCCTGCACACCCCCCACTGGGGATGTGCCCGCAACCAAGGTACATGCCCTTGACCTGAATCAAACCTGGGACCTTTCAGTCTGCAGTCTGCAGGCCGACGCTCTATCCACTGAGCAAAACCCGTTAGGGCCATCCTGGAATTTTTAATGTGCTAGTGCTGATGTTGCTCAACTACAACTAATCAATTAAGGACATTTCAGAATTCCTGCTCTACCAACTCTTTCTTCTCTCTCTGGGATCTTTTCTAATTTCCTTCTTTCCTTGTTAACCAGTTAAATTGATCACATGAATTAATAAGTTGATGAAAAGATTTTAGAAAATTTATAGCCACTGCACAAGTTATACTAGTCATTAACTTTGTAACTTAAAGTAAATTGACTCAAGTAAAGGCCAATCAAAATGTGAGATTCTTAATAGTGCAACCTTGCATTTTATATCAAACACAATATATTAATAATTGCTTTCACATATTTAATTATGTTTTATCTCACCCTGTACCTCAATCCCACTGGTTTTTATAGACAGAAGTTATGGGGACTTCTCTTCCTGGCACTAGAACTCCGGGCTGGGGGACCTGTTTCGGGCTGAGACTCCTCATTCCTCAGGGGGACTCCATAGCCGAAATATCCCTCACTGTTTTTATCCACCATATGTGGTTGTGAGACCAGCCCATTCCTTGTCAACACCCCTCCTACCAGTCTCCATGTGGCTTCTTTAATTCTGTAGTTGTAGGACTTCCATTCAGCTCCATTTCAGGTGGTTCTGAATGATGGTTGTTCTGTAGTTTGGTTACAATTTTGACCTAGTTGTGGGAGGAAGCAAGTATGTGTTTAAACACTTTCTTATCCATCCACCCCCTTATTAAATATATTGTAAATTATCAACACTATCATGTTGTTAAGGCTATTTCAAGGTGTTTAAATTAATATGGTTTGCCAATGGTCTCTAAATATTTTTTATCATCTTTGCAGTGGAAAATTTTTGAACATGTACTTCCAATATACATACTTATTTTTGTATAAATTATATATGTACTACCATGTCACATGTTATAAAACATACTCAAAGTAGAAATTATAAGAGGATAAGATATAAAATATATAAAGCCCCACTTGATTTGGCTCAGTGGATAGAGCGTCGGCCTGAGGACTGAAGGGTCCCAGGTTCAATTCTGATCAAGGACAGAGGCCCAGGTTGCAGGCTCAATCCCCAGTAGGGGGCATGAGGAGGCAGCAGATCAATGATTCTCTTTCATCATTGATGTTTCTATCTCTCCCCCTCTCTCTTTCTATCTGAAATCAATCAATCACATAAATAAATAAAATATATAGAAACGTTTTCATACTTTCTTCTTTCACTCTTCGGCATTTCTAGATGTTTAAATTGGTATTCTCCAAAGTAGACACACACCAATTTGACTACTGTGTCATACATGTGTCTGTCATGTTTA